CCTTCCTTCTACCCTCGTAGGAGGAATCAATTCCCTTATCCTAACCCTACCCTAAACCCTAACCCTACCCTCGTAGGAGGAATCAATTCCCTTATCCTAACCATAACCCCTAACCCTAACCCATAAAGGTCATAATTTCCTAAATTGGAATTAAACACTTTAATTTAAATTAGCTTTGGCGACTAATGCTATGATATGCTAATACGATGCTATGCTAAGGAACAGGAAATAACTATCCTTAAGGGATATGGAAATATACAAACTTAGCTTGGATGCTAATGTTAGGCTGATGCTAAGCTAATTGTTATAAGCTAGGCTAGGCTAAAGGAAATAGGCAGATGACAACTTCCTCTTTGGAAAGGAGGTTAAAGGTTACTTATTAATTTCACAAGATATTAATATTTGACAACGAACCCCTCATGGCAATGAGGGTAAGAGGTTCAGTGGCTGGGGCCGGCAGTCCCTACGGGGGGACACCTGCCAGTATTAGACAACCAATGAAATGAGAGGGATATCCTTCTTGCTCATACTAGATACACTCATGGTGCTATCTCAGGGTCTCCTGGGGGCGAAACGGTCGCTTTTCAGGGAAGGAAAGAGGGAGACAGGGACGGGGAAGGGGAATGGGGGACTACGCATGACGTGCGGTGGCCCGTGCATTTCCAGTAGCCCTCTATCTAACCACCCAGTCGTCGGACGAGGTGGGGAGGGCTCACTGTGTTCTCTTTCACAAACCCTAACCCTACATTCATAAATAACTAACAAACAAATTTTATTAAACTATAATACCAAAGGCTGCATCATCCACACAAAACTGTATCATTAGATAACAAAGGCTTCATCACAGACAAGACAAAACAAAACAACACAACACAACAACACAAAATGGTCTACCTGGATGAGGACCAGGATTGGATCCCTGTATGGTACCGGGGACGGCGCCTAGTGCCTGGTGGCCTTAACAGGCAGTGGAGTAGCAGGAGGCCCCAAGGGAAGGACCGTGCACCTCCGCGTCCCTTCGGGGACCGGAACACTTTTCCTCTCCCTACCCCCAGTGGCAGATATCCAAGAAAGGGTCTCAAGTATGAAGAGTTGGAGAGCACCAGGCCCTGACATGGTTCACGCCTACTGGCTGAAGAAGCTGACTGCACTCCACGAGCGCCTGGCAGCACAAATGAAC